GAGGTTCTACAATTGCCAGTTTTGGAACAGTACTGTTTCTGGTGTATATGATAGAAGAAACTAAGTAAAGAGGTGTCCCTGTTCGCAGATGACATAAACCTTATGAGAACACTAACAGGAACAAACCAGGAGAGACTACAAATGAATCTGGACAAGCTCCAGGATTAGTCTGACACTTGGCAATTAGAATTTAACCCCTTGAAATGCAAAGTTATAAAAATAAGGAAGGGAAAAGACCGGAAACAAAGTAAAAGCTTTGGGGAACAAAAGCAATAAACATCCCTGAAAGAGAATGACCAAGGGGTGAGTATAGTACCGAACATTTCATTTGAGGTACGCATCACTCGGATAACAGCTGCAACAAGTGCGAGACTAGCAAATTTAAGTTTAGCTTTCAGGAACATTTACAAGGGGGGCTTTCACGCCCAACTTGGAGTATGCAGCGCCAGTATGGAACCCGCATCTGATAAAGCATGTAAAGAGGCTGGAAAAAAGTGAAAAGGTTTGCCACACTAGTCAAAGAACTGAAGGTTATAAGTTATGATGAGGGACTAGAGGAGCAAAAACTGACAATACTAGAGGACAAAAGGACCAGGGGTGACGCGGTTACAATGTACAAAATAATAAGAGGAATTAACAAGGTGAATCTGTTTGAGAGGCGAGCCTCAGATACACGAGACCACAGCAGGAAGATAAAAACACAAATCACTCACATGGTTATCAGAAAATACTTCTTTTGTCTTACAGAGGTCAGGAAGTAGAACGACAGGATCCATACATAACTTTAAGAAAAGGTATGATATGGCTCAGATAGCTTGGACAGGTGACCCGGTGGCCTGGTGGCTAAAGCTCCCGCTTCACACACGGAGGGCCCGGGTTCGATTCCCGGCGGGTGGAAACATTCGACACGTTTCCTTACACCTGTTGTCCTGTTCACCTAGCAGCAAATAGGTACCTGGGTGTTAGTCGACTGGTGTGGGTCGCATCCTGGGGGACAAGATTAAGGACCCCAATGGAAATAAGTTAGACAGTCCTCGATGACGCACTGACTTTCTTGGGTTATCCTGGGTGGCTAACCCTCCGGGGTTAAAAATCCGAACGAAATCTTATCTTATCTAATAGCCAGCGGAGACGCAGAGCCATGAGCAGACTCGATCCTCTAAGTACAAATAGGCGAGTTCCTCATACTTCCACACTTACGTCAATAACAACAGGCTTTCCATTGGCCTATAAGGCTAACTGACTTTGCTCGCAACACGACAAATGTCAATATTACAGACAACGGTAAATTGTCAGGGTCTTGGTGTGATCCCAATGGTCAGGGTCCGGGTGTGATCCCATAGCTCAATGGTCAGGGTCCGGGTGTGATCCCATAGCTTAATGGTCAGGGTCCAGGTGTGATCATCATAGTTTACCTGGAGACCTGGGGAGAGTTTCGGGGGTCAACGCCCCCGCTTCCCGGTCTGAGACCAGGCCTCATGGTGGATCAATGTCTGATCAACCAGGCTGTTACTGCCAGCCTTGAAGGGGGCCATTAGTGTACAGCAGTATTCCAGCCTAGAGAGAACAAGCGATTTGAAGAGAATCATCGTGGGCTTGGCGTCCCTAGTTTTGAAGGTTCTCATTATCCATCCTATCATTTTCCTAGCAGATGAGGTAGATACATTGTTGTGGTCTTTGAAAGCGAGATCCTCCGACATTATCACTCCCAGGTCCTTCACATTACTTGTTTAGGATATTGTAGTGACAGTATTCTGAAGAACCTTGTAGTGACACTATCCTGAAGAACCTTGTAGTGACAGTATCCTGAAGAACATTGTAGTGACACTATCCTGAAGAACCTTGTAGTGACAGTATCCTGAAGAACATTGTAGTGACACTATCCTGAAGAACCTTGTAGTGACAGTATCCTGAAGAACATTGTAGTGACACTATCCTGAAGAACCTTGTAGTGACACTATCCTGAAGAACATTGTAGTGACACTATCCTGAAGAACCTTGTAGTGACACTATCCTGAAGAACCTTGTAGTGACACTATCCTGAAGAACATTGTAGTGACACTATCCTGAAGAGCATTGTAGTGACACTATCCTGAAGAACAGTGTAGTGACACTATCCTGAAGAACATTGTAGTGACATTATCCTGAAGAACCTTGTAGTAACACTATCCTGAAGAACATTGTAGTGACACTATCCTGAAGAACATTGTAGTGACACTATCCTGAAGAACATTGTAGTGACACTATCCTGAAGAGCATTGTAGTGACACTATCCTGAAGAACATTGTAGTGACACTATCCTGAAGAACATTGTAGTGACACTATCCTGAAGAACATTGTAGTGACAGTATCCTGAAGAACATTGTAGTGACACTATCCTGAAGAACCTTGTAGTAATACTATCCTGAAGAACATTGTAGTGACACTATCCTGAAGAACATTGTAGTGACACTATCCTGAAGAACATTGTAGTGACACTATCCTGAAGAACATTGTAGTGACACTATCCTGAAGAACATTGTAGTGACACTATCCTGAAGAACCTTGTAGTAACACTATCCTGAAGAACATTGTAGTGACACTATCCTGAAGAACATTGTAGTGACACTATCCTGAAGAACATTGTAGTGACACTATCCTGAAGAACATTGTAGTGACACTATCCTGAAGAACATTGTAGTGACACTATCCTGAAGAACCTTGTAGTAACACTATCCTGAAGAACATTGTAGTGACACTATCCTGAATAACATTGTAGTGACACTATCCTGAAGAACATTGTAGTGACACTATCCTGGGTGAGAAAATTTAAGGATCTCAATGGAAATAAGACAGAAAGTTCACGGTGGTACACTGCCTTTATTGGGTTAAAGACCGAAAAGGCAAAATACCGTCACTTCCGGGAGAGTGTTTTTTTTCCCCCGAAGAAATGTCTGGGAAAATCACCATTTGCCTTAAATGCTCAAGGTCAGGGTGAAGGGTAATCCACGGTGCCCCGCTTCACACGGCGAGTGTCCGTGTTCGATTCCCGGCGAGGGTAGAAACATTGGGCGTGTTTGCTTACACCGGTTATCTGTGTTCACCCATCAGAAAAATGGATACCTGGGAGTTAGTGGACTGGTGTGGGTCGCATCCTGGGACAAAACTGACCTAATTTGCACGAAATGTTCTGCATAACAAGAGGCTGTCTATATAGTAGTATGTCACTGATGTCAGTTAGGACTGTATACCTTGTACATGTACCTGTAGAAATAAATATTTTATTATTATTATTATTATTATTATTATTATTATTATTATTATTATTATTATTATTATTATTATTATTATTATTATTATTATGTGTTGTTTTATAAAAGGACTTGCAGTTCATCATAGTAATACTGTTATAATACTCGTGCGCCTTATATGCCGGAAAATACGGCATACGTCATAACTTACCTGTATCTAAATAAACTGACTTACTTGTACCTAAATAAACTGACTTACTAACTTACCTGTATCTAAATAAACTGACTTACCTGTACCTAAATAAACTGACTTACTAATTTACCTGTACCTAAATAAACTGACTTACTAACTTACCTGTATCTAAATAAACTGACTTACCTGTACCTAAATAAACTGACTTACTAATTTACCTGTACCTAAATAAACTGACTTACTAACTTACCTGTATCTAAATAAACTGACTTACCTGTACCTAAATAAACTGACTTACTAACTTACCTGTACCTAAATAATCTGACTTACTAACTTACCTGTACCTAAATAATCTGACTTACTAACTTACCTGTACCTAAATAAACTGACTTACTAACTTACCTGAAACTAAATAAACTGACTTACTAACTTACCTGAACCTAAATAAACTGACTTACTAACTCACCTGTACCTAAATAAACTGACTTACTAACTTACCTGTACTTAAATAAACTGACTTACTAACTTACCTGTACCTAAATAAACTGACTTACTAACTTACCTGAACCTAAATAAACTGACTTACTAACTTACCTGTTTACCTGGAGTTTACCTGGAGAGAGTTTCGGGGGTCAACGCCCCCGCGGCCCGGTCTGTGACCAGGCCTCCTGGTGGATCAGCGCCTGATCAACCAGGCTGTTGCTGCTGGCTGCACGCAAACCAACGTACGAGCCACAGCCCGGCTGATCAGGAACTGACTTTAGGTGCTTGTCCAGTGCCAGCTTGAAGACTGCCAGGGGTCTGTTGGTAATCCCCCTTATGTGTGCTGGGAGGCAGTTGAACAGTCTCGGGCCCCTGACACTTATTGTATGGTCTCTTAACGTGCTAGTGACACCCCTGCTTTTCATTGGGGGGATGGTGCATCGTCTGCCAAGTCTTTTGCTTTCGTAGTGAGTGATTTTCGTGTGCAAGTTCGGTACTAGTCCCTCTAGGATTTTCCAGGTGTATATAATCATGTATCTCTCCCTCCTGCGTTCCAGGGAATACAGGTTCAGGAACCTCAAGCGCTCCCAGTAATTGAGGTGTTTTATCTCCGTTATGCGCGCCGTGAAAGTTCTCTGTACATTTTCTAGGTCGGCAATTTCACCTGCCTTGAAAGGTGCTGTTAGACTTACTGACTTACCTGACTTACTAACTTACCTGAACCTAAATAAACTGACTTACTAACTTACCTGTACCTAAATAAACTGACTTACTAACTTACCTGAACCTAAATAAACTGACTTACTAACTTATCTGTACCTAAATAAACTGACTTACTAACTTACCTGAACCTAAATAAACTGACTTACTAACTTACCTGTACCTAAATAAACTGACTTACTAACTTACCTGTACCTAAATAAACTGACTTACTAACTTACCTGTACCTAAATAAGCTGACTTACTAACTTACCTGTACCTAAATAAACTGACTTACTAACTTACCTGTACCTAAATAAGTTGACTTACGGCTCAAGCTGTGATGGCCCTTAACAACAACAACAAAAACAACTTCATGTTGTCGTCGGCGTCCTCTGAAGGGGACGACGGATTATCTTTAGAGGGGAAATCGTTAGTTTTTTCTCTTGTATTTTAGGAAATCTGAACAGGAAAAATTAATATAGACATCACTGTGAGATAAAAAGAACTTTAATTAATTATGGAAAAGTAGGTTTTATCATTTTAAGACTGGTCTCGAAGGGTTATCTGAGTTAGTACATACGTTATCATTTAGCTTACTATTTTGTACCACTCAGCGCTGTATGACCCTTGTGGGTTTAGCTCTTAGTTATAATAATCATATTTTGTATCCATCTAGGGGCTCTTGATCCAGGGAACCACACCTATTCTCCCTATCCTTGGATTGAGCTTTAAGTTTTTCCCTTCCCTATTATTGTCTGTAATGTTTTTATAAGATAATTTATAAACAGATATGTGCATTTATTATTAAACAGAATATCACCCTCTTGCCAGTCTGGCTTAGACTAGGAAATAGTACTAATAGAAATAAGTCACTTTGAATCTTTGCGTTATCCTAGGAAATTTACACTATATATGATAATTGTACTTATGTGTCATTGAGCCTAAATAAACTTACTTACTTAAGATGCCTGACTCTCTTTATTCAGCTCTTAAAAAGTATTGAATATTCAATGGTTCTCTCTATTTATCTCAGAAGAGCATTTTATATTAACGCACAACTTGATGAAACTAGAGCATTATGGTATCAGACATCATGCTGACACATATGTATAGTTCTACCTTGACTACAGATGTCAACATGTGACACACAATGATACTACTTCATTACAGGGCCAGGCTTGCCTGATCATCCAAGCTGTTGTTGCTGGCAGTCCACTGGCCCACATATCCATAACAGCCTGGTTGATCTGACACTTGGTGCAGACATTTGTTCACTTTCTTCTTGAAGACCTCAACACCTGTTCCAACATTGCTTAACACGAATAGTTAACATAGGGGTGCCTCAGGGTAGCAACCTTGGCCCACTGTTATTCCTCATATATATCAGTGACCTAACAAATGTCTCCCAGGAACTTAAACCAGTCCTGTTAGCAGATTACACAACATTTGTCATAGCTAATCTAGATCCTGTTGCCCTCAGCAACACAGTCAATGTGGAGCTCATAAAAGATTACCTGATGGCAACTAACAAACTTAATCTCAATATTGACAAGAATTTATATATGTTGTTTGAGAATAAAGCTAAAATTATCCATTTCAACATAAAAATAAATAATTCACACATAAGAGTGAGAAGGCGAGGGAAGAGTCTTAGGTATACACTATATCTTGACTGCAACCTAAAATTCAACACTCGCATCTGGAGTTTACCTGGAGTTTACCTGGAGAGAGTTCCGGGGGTCAACGCCCCCGCGGCCCGGTCTGTGACCAGGCCTCCTGGTGGATCAGAGCCTGATCAACCAGGCTGTTACTGCTGGCTGCACGCAAACCAACGTACGAACCACAGCCTGGCTGATCAGGAACCGACTTTAGGTGCTTGTCCAGTGCCAGCTTGAAGACTGCCAGGGGTCTGTTGGTAATCCCCCTTATGTATGCTGGGAGGCAGTTGAACAGTCTCGGGCCCCTGACACTTATTGTATGGTCTCTTAACGTGCTAGTGACACCCCTGCTTTTCATTGGGGGGATGTTGCATCGTCTGCCAAGTCTTTTGCTTTCGTAGTGAGTGATTTTCGTGTGCAAGTTCGGTACTAGTCCCTCTAGGATTTTCCAGGTGTATATAATCATGTATCTCTCCCGCCTGCGTTCCAGGGAATACAGGTTCAGGAACCTCAAGCGCTCCCAGTAATTGAGGTGTTTTATCTCCGTTATGCGCGCCGTGAAGGTTCTCTGTACATTTTCTAGGTCAGCAATTTCACCTGCCTTGAAAGGTGATGTTAGTGTGCAGCAATATTCCAGCCTAGATAGAACAAGTGATCTGAAGAGTGTCATCATGGGCTTGGCATCCCTCGTTTTGAAGGTTCTCATTATCCATCCTGTCATTTTTCTAGGAGATGCGATCGATACAATGTTATGGTCCTTGAAGGTGAGATCCTCTGACATGATCACTCCCAGGTCTTTGACGTTGGTGTTTCGCTCTATTTTGTGGCCAGAATTTGTTTTGTACATCTAACATGTGTAAGAAAATTTCCAAACTGTAGGTATTCTATCAAAGATATACTTCTATGTTCCATAAACAACATAACTCACTCTGTATTATTTAATAATCTATTCTTACATCAGCTGTGGTATTTGTGTTTAGGGATCTACTACAGCAAATCACCTACAACCCTGTATTAGTTCAGTCCATCACCTCGACTTTTCCAAGAGAGCTGCAACAGAACACACAGACAATACAAGAAATAAGTGTCTTTGATGTACCACATGTTCAACTTAACCTATACAGGCAATCCATGCAAATAAAGAGCTCTAAAATTTGAAACTCCCTTCAGGAAGGTGCAAAGTTTCCCTTCAGCCACCTGCTTCAAAAATATAGTTAGAAAGATCTCCTGAGTCTGACTTAAAGCCTGCTTATACAAATTATGTTAAGGGCTGATGTATCAATGGCAACTCTGTTGTTGTAACCAGATACAAACATGTAAATAGTTCATTACCGCTGTAACTTGTTCAGCTATCAAAACTTTGCAGCCCAGTCCCTGGACCCATTATGTACCTCTGTAATCTTTTTACTGCTGCTTACAGGATGGGTATAGAGTGTATAATGAAGATATTAAACTAAAAAACTGTTGATTCAACTCATATTAGCATTCATACTGATGTTTTTGTTATCATCAATCTGTTTCAACACATATATTAACCGAAAATATGTTCTACCTAAGTACTCACCAATAAAAAATATAATACCAAATTATTTCATAAGTTCTCAGAATTTCATAAATCATAAACTAAATTGTAACAGTTTATGTTATAGTATTTTACAAACATAGCATTTTAGTAAAATAACCAAATTGTGCAACTGTCCAATAATTGTAAGTAAATTTTAATGCTGCCTGAAATGCTCTACATAACAAGGAGCTTTCTATAAAGTACTGTAGTTTATATGTATGTTCATATAAATTATGTATCAGAATAAATGAGGTAGGCCTCATATATAATTTGAAATCTTTAAAGTGGTATTATAAGGTAAATTACACAGAATTTAATGTATGATATATGAATAAAATGTGAGATATTTCCACTGGGGTCATTTTTGGATCCTTTCCCTGGATGCAACCCATGACAGTACTAATTCCCGGGTATCTATTTACTGCTAGGTAACGGGCTGCAGGTGTTAGGAGGAGACTTGCTCACACATCTTGCCTCATCCAAGATTCGACCTGGGATTCTTGAATGTGAGCCGAGCATGCTACCACTGCAAGAAGGTACTCATCTTTGTTCAAAATAAAAAAAATCTAATTCAGAATATATATTTCTACAAGTGTGTAGAAGGAATGACTCAAAAACACTGTCAGCAGCTTGTGTACATGAAAGAAGAATATTAATCTGCCTATTATAATTACACTTTCATGGATAGTGTATAGGAGGGCCGTGCTTTACAGCGCTTCACTTTATCGGGTTTCGCTAATGCAGTGGTTTTCACTTATGCTCATTCTTCATTTATTCAAACTTCCTACAATAAATATATTCACCACTCACAATAAGCTAAGGACAAAAATATTTTAAGGTAAGAAATGTGTGTACTATACATGTATATGCATTTTTTTTAAGACCTAGCTCTATTTCTCACTGAATATATGATAGTTTAAACATGTTCTCAGGCTTTTATATGCATTTGAAAGTGAAAAAAGGGTTTCACTTTACAGCAGTAACCCAAAACCTAACCTGCTGCATAAGTGGGGCCCTCCTGTACTTAATATTGCTTGTAATTACATACTGTATTATGTCTTTCAACAGACCAGACAAGATGGATGATGGAGGATGTACTGTAGACATTAACTCTGAACTATTGGACTTATCTAAAATTTAACCAGCTTACAGCCTCTGCTTCACTTGCTGGTAAAACACTTAATTTTTTTCCTCATATAGGCTTGCACTTTTTATTGCAAGAAACTGTTAATATTCAAGAAATATTTCTTTAGGTATTAAAGTATAGTGGTCTAAATAGAATTTGATTTAACTATAATATACATGTATGTATGAGAAGTGTTGTGCCTGCACTCTAAAAAAGGGGTGGAGATGTGCTGCAGTTTTTTAACTGTAGTATTGGCACATCTCTCACAAGACAGTGATGGAGTGAGTGATGATGAAGGTGTTTCTTCTTTTTCAGGTCACCCTGCCTTGGCGGGAAATGGCTGATGTGTTAAAAAAAAAAATGTGTGCACATATAGATACTGAATAGTTTGGTTTGGTTTTAAATATTTAGACAGGAATTTTGCAGGTTATGAATTATACCTGCTGTTACGCTTATCCTGCATATCATTTCATTCATGTATATTATTAACTTTATCATTTTAGGCTGGAAGTGAAGATGGCTGGCTATGGCTGTCCTATAGGTGAACGATGTCGCTTTTGTGGCCTTGATCTTCCTGCTGATGCAGTAACTGTTATGACTCATATCAGTACTCACTGGAGGCAGTTCAATTTGGAGTCCTTATCCTTGAGTCCTTGTGCGTTTGAGCCGCAGTTAGACATTCGAGTTGGTAACACTCCCCTGAACCCTGAAGATTTAGAGGTCTCATCTCACATGGAGCAAGGTTTTCAGTATTCATACTCTCCACAGACAGAACCCTCTAATTTAACCATAAATGGTGCAAGATGTTCTCCTTTAAACTTAACAGGACGTTCCAAATCATCCTCTCCTTTATCGTCTCCTCTGCCTCATGCACCGTCTATTCCCCCTCCTCCCCCTCCTGTTCCAAATCATCAAGCATCGCTTGGTGGCCCACTTGTACTGCCTCCTTCACATCCTCATCATCCTCATTCATTTTCTATTGGGATGTTGGGTACTCCTCCGGGAACACATCAAGTTCCCCCACTGCACCTCAACCAGAACCTGGATATAGATATAAATGTAGAGTCGCATGATGAACAGAATGGTGCAATGAAGCGGAAGAGACGAATTGACCGCTTTGTGGAGATGAGATGCCATATTTGTGGCAGGACATTTTTCACCAAATCATCTTTTGATGAGCACATGGACAGTCATATCAAAGATAATAATGTCTACATCATGAATGATCAGATGGATGGAGGAAATATAGTGTCAAATGTCATGTCTTGTTCCATGCCAGACAAGCCGTATAAGTGTGCGGTGTGTGATAGAGAGTTTGCTTATAAAGAAGAACTTCTCGAACATAATGAAAGTCATGAAGCAGCTAAACCATACAAATGTGATATATGTGGTGCTGGTCTCTCTCACATCAGTGCCCTCCGACGACACAGACTTGCTCATAGTGGATACAAACCCCACAGATGTGAAATATGTAGCCGAAGCTTTTTCCAGAAATGCGATCTTCAGCGGCACTATACAACCCATGGCAAGTCAAAGCAATATGAATGTGGTGTATGCAAAAAGAAATATTCTTCCCTTCACTTTCTTGAAAACCACAAGTGCAAAGCTCCAGAGGAACCCAAACCTTTTAAGTGTAATATCTGTGGTGAAGGTTGTGCCAACAACATGGCATGGAGTTATCACATGTGGAAGCATACCAAAAACCCCATTTTTGTTCCTTTCCAGGAGAAATTTAATGTACACACAGGACAGGCAGAAAGTAATTAAATAGTTTCATAAGTTTTTTGGAATTAATAATGTACATTTTCCAGAAATTTAATCGAGCAATTTTTCAGTCACCGAATTAAACTTCTGTCATTTCCAGCAATAAATTGTATTCTAACAATTCAAAATTTAATTTCATACACTCATAACAGCTTTATTGGCTCAATAGTACCTCGTAACTTTGTCCTGTATAAAATATAAAATTCTATCTTTACTTTCATTTTATATTCTTAAAAGTTTTTAAAAATTTTCACAAATGTTTGTGCAAGACATTTAAACATATCTAGCTATTTACTGACACTGAAAGAATAACATAGTGTTTAAAATCAGAATATCTACAGTAGTAAACATAAAAAACTTGAAGAGAAAGATCATTAGGAAGAATAGATACAAAAAAAAATAACAATCATTATGAAGCTACTGGGCTTTTGTAACAAAAATAAGCAGCCATAAATTTTTTTTTTGTAGATTTTTATAAATCTCTTCAAGATAGCTCATTCACATATCCTCTATTGCAATTATACTCCTTTAGGGTTTGTGATCCAAGTATGTAGTTCTTTTGTTATTCCCTAAGTCTTATCTTTTGACTTCAAATATATGCTCTCTCCTTGATCATTTTCATTCACAATGATGCTACATCTGTGTACACACAGGTTCTGTATCTTCCAAGGGAGCAAGATATGCTCCTATCTTTCCTGATCATATGAATCAATTCAAGCTGTTGCAAGCAGCTTCTGCTGTGCACTCTAGCATTACACTCTTAAATGTACCCCATACCTCTTCAATCTCTTCCTCATTACTCTCTCCACCTACCCTTTTATATCTCCCAATAGCTGTCTCTCCCTTTGAATTCATTCACTTTCATTTCTCTCTTATCCACTAACTCCATTTGCCTTTTAATCTTTCTGTAGCTACCTTTAAATAATGACCTGACATACAGTCACTCTTGTAAACATGCACATCCAGAGGCTTACCCATCATTCTTTTATCCACCAATACAGAGGCTTGCGAACTGCTGCTTTGGCACACTACATCATATATAAACTTATCATCTTTTTCTTAAAAAGAAATACCTGTTACCAAACCTCTTTTTATACACAATTCAGTTAGAGGACCCCCCATTATCATTTATCCCTGGCCCTCCACACTGAAGGATTGTGGCAAAAAGTTGGAGAAACTGTCTCTCCTGCTATAGCATTTATGTCACCCACAACAATTATATTCTCACTTGCCTCAGAACTTCCCAAACATTCACTTAATACTTTCCATAATTTCTCTCTCTCATGTAAAGAAAGAGAGAGGTACTATATCCACTGGTTTCACTTAGTGTGTCACTTAAATTAAGCCCTGAAAAATTACATGATGGATCTATATGGCAAACAGTTGCCTATGTTTACCACAGAATAGAGCATTGTGATAAGGAGTTGAGGGTTGAATGTGATAGTAGGTAAGATTGAAATCAGTCATGTTGAGAGTTCAGTCTTTCAGCTTTATAATATGAACAGAACTGTATTTTAAAACACTCTGGCCTACATTTAGTGATGGCAGTTTTGAAAATTTTGCATTGAGCTAATACTGTATATAACCTTTCACATCAAGTGAACAATGCTAATTGCCTATCTCAGTCTGGAATGTGATACAAGACATGTATGTGTTGTGCTTTTTTAGGCAAAGTCAGTCAGACAAGTTTAGATGCCTTAATTTTTTTTTTCAAACATTTTCTTTTGCACTAATAGATAAACTTGTATAAATTAACAGTGTAAATATTTTTGGTTCTGCCCAAAGATAACTTAGTAATCTATCTTAACCTTAGCTCAATCCTACCAACTTATTTTAGGTCAGCTTAATTTGCCATAATTAGTATTCCTAACATTTGTGAAATATATCCTATTAATTATGTGATGTTCGGACTAATTTTTGCAAAGTTTTACCTTTGATGAGTTCCAAGAGTTTTACTACTCCCAAAGCTCAGCCATGGGCCAGGATTGTAATTGAATTTATATTCAGTTTGTCTGGCAAAACGATCGTGCTTTCAAAGCCAAGATCAGTAGCTCTTCCTCAAAAGCACACCATACACATACATGCACTGCATAATATTCTCTCAACTTTTAGGGCTAGAGAAGATTAATTTTAAAATTACTATAAAAATATTTTTATTACAGTATATAGAACAGTACTGTAGAGTACATATTGGTGATGTACAATCAAGTTTATTTAGTATTGGATTTAGTACCATATAGTGTTTAAAATGTTGGCAGATTGTGGAATATAACATCATCTCTTATTTGAAATTGTTCCAAATTTTGAAAATCAGAATGATCTTCAAATTTCAAAATTTTCAAGTGTTGGACTATATATCAAACAGTCATACTCTGATGTACAACAAAAAAGTGATACTGTACAGTGAAACATCATTAGGTGAGATTTAACTGTATTAAGTCTACTGTACAGATGGTTAAATTCAATACTGTACTGTACTCATATCTGTGAGCTTTGCATTCATTAATCCTCTCTGTGAATTTTGTTTGCCCTTTATCTGCAAGTACAGTTTGTTGTCTGTAGCTAACCTATTGTGGATTCTCATAGTTGCAAATTCTATGTTATGCTGTTTTCTGGCAAGTTGATTAATGACCTATTTGGATTATGACTGGCCCAAAATTAAAACCATTATGCCTGGGTATAGAGGTGATGGCTCAGTCATCTCTTCTTTTCCTACTAAAATGCAGTAAAAGTTTTATATTTGCAAATTTGTCATCCATGAGCTTCTCACTGAATGCATCCCTTACTCATACTGAGTACAGAATAGTACTGACTATCACCAGCCTGCTAGGAATAGTATAATGTGTTAACTGGTTGTAGAGTTTTGTAGGTAGGTTATATTATTGCTAGACCCTGTATAATGTGAATTAGAATACTGTATACATGTATACTTAATACAATACTGTATAGTGGATGTATTAATAGTCAGGTCTAGTATAACGAGTGTTGTATTAGCTAGGTTTAGTATAGCGAACAAACTGTAGGTTAGGAAAAGTGCAATATTTTATGTTTCCAGCTCAATAGTATGTGTGTGCACAAACGACTAGAAGCCAATACCAGTATTGAAAAATCACAAAGAAACGATTCATGATGCAAAACAACCACAGGGGGAATGATAGCTCTAGACCTTTTGTGTTGCAATCAACACATCAACATAAGCTCCTGATGATGTGTTGATTGCAACACAAAAGGCCTAGAGCTATCAGTCATCTCCCCCCACTGGTTGTTTTGCACCAGAATTGATGCATAATTGGTTCTTATTTCTGCTTAAGATGCTTTGAGTGCTAGAATCATTAGCGTGGTTGCATAATTAATTGTATGCAGCACTATGGTTGCACTGTAAATACTGTACTGTATGACTGTTAAAGTATGTAATATATTATTTATAATGTATTTTGTTGCACATATTGTGTAATGTGTACTTCAGCATGTGGAAATTGAGATTCCTTGAGTTGATGAGCATTGCACAATTTACCTGAGGTAAAAAATTCCTACGTTAGAGAACAAAGTCACAATACCATGACTGGAACAATACGCAAATAACCCGCACATAGGAGAGAGAAGCTCGTGACGACATTTCAGTCCGACTTGCACCATTTACAAGTGACACATCACAAAGTGAATGGTGCAAATTGTATTATTCTTGCTTTGATACTATATGTTTTTCATTATGTACTGGTGAAGTTTTTAATTTTTTGTACATTCCTGTATCATACAGTGTGAGTTTGGAGATAGAATTACCTCTCATATACTTTACTTTTGAATGAAGTGATATAATCAGTATGATTGTGATCACAAAGAGTATTTTCCATATAGGTTTTATTAGTAAATACACAGAAGCATTATATTATGATACAGTAGTTTTAATGAACTTCCAGGTTATAAAGACAAAAAACTAAGTTGATTTAATTCATATAAATCTCTTCTGAGGAGGGCATCAGTGTGAGGTCAAAATTTACGGAACTGTACTTCACTTAAGTTCCTTCTGTTTTATTTCTCTCCATGTAGGTTCATTTGCACTATTGACCAGAGCTGGATTAACATTTTGTAGGCCCCTGGGCTGCAGGTACTGTGAGGCCCCCAGTGATATTTTCAGAAACATTCAATGAACAGTCAACAGATCATATACGACAAGCGTGCGTGAGCGTGTTAGATAGGAGTGAATGGAGACGAATGGTACTTGGGACCTGACGATCTGTTGGAGTGTGAGCAGGGTAATATTTAGTGAAGGGATTCAGGGAAACCGGTTATTTTCATATAGTCGGACTTGAGTCCTGGAAATGGGAAGTACAATGCCTGCACTTTAAAGGAGGGGTTTGGGATATTGGCAGTTTGGAGGGATATGTTGTGTGTCTTTATATGTGTATGCTTCTGGACTGCTGTATTCTGAGCACCTCTGCAAAAACAGTGATAATGTGCGAGTGTGGTGAAAGTGTTGAATGATGATGAAAGTATTTTCTTTTTGGGGATTTTCTTTCTTTTTTTTTGGGGGTCACCCTGCCTCGGTGGGAAACGGCCGACTTGTTGAAAAAAAAAAAAAAAAAAAATTAAATTTACATTAGTAACTGTGAACACTTTCCACTTAATCTCTGGAGGCCCTCCAGCTGGCAGAGGCCCCTGGGCTGCAGCCCCTAAAGCCCATGCCTTAATCCAGCCCTGCTACTGACCAATGTACATTGAACTGTTTATTTGTATTAATATCAGGTGTTTATTCTTGATGCATGTCTTAGCATCTCTTTACGTTACTATTGGCAGGCAGCTACGAATGTGATATAACAGAGACGTTCGAAATGCATGGCAGGCTGGGGCACGGAGTTGAAGCATCAAAAGTAGTTACAAACTAAATTGGTTTCTTCAGAATTACCAGCACAAATTTTAAATGGCATGTGTATTGAAAGTGTTGTTTTAATATAAATGCCACTGTCAGTCAGTCAAATTCAGCAATGAATATTGAGAATAATTTATTTTAATAATTTTAAAATTGTTTAATATTTTGCTAGTCTTCATAATTTATTTAACCCTTAAACGGTCCAAACGTATATGTATATACGTTTTTTCAACATTTGAAAGTATGTAAAAAATGTACATCATCTTTTTTTTTTTTTTTTACATTTGAAAATGTGTAAAAAAACTTTTATCTACATTTTTTTTGTTATATTTGAAAAAAAATGTAAAAAAAACATAGATCTACTTTTGGAGCATTACGGATTTGAACGTCGATCTATTTCGACCATTTAAGGGTTAAGGGAGTTTATGCATATGTATAATTTTTATGCAAAACTAAAATTATACTTTAGATTAATTAATCAACAGTGTAATAGCTACAAAATTCTGTATAAAGCTTGTGGATAACAAAGTGAAAAATCTATTAAATTAGGCTTCTTGCATTACCCTGTTTTTCTAATAAATTCCTTGTCTAATTTCTGTACTGTGTTTACAATTCATAGACTTATCATGTTGTGCTTTTATATATATTTTAGCTAGGTTAGGTTGCTAATTAGTTTTAGTGCAGAATTAGAAAATGCATCCATCCTATTTTAATTTTTGTGAATACTGTATACTGTATCTGCCAGTCCATATTATAAAAATCTGAAAAAATATATTTTAAGAAAATTTGGCCTACATGTATTTTATCAAGCATGACATTATACTCTAATTATTTACTGTAACACTTAGTTTCATCATAATTAATATATGTGCAACTGGGTAATGATAATTTCAGATAAAATTGGGGAACTTTATTTAATACTTCAAAAGTTATATTGTAATCTTAAGAAAATATTTCAACTTTATGCAGATTATATTTCAATGAAATGTTTTCTGCTCTGTGTGGTATATGTGCCATACCTGCTACTTTTGTCATCAGTATTATGGGTCTGGCTATTTACAGTACTATCTGCAAAATTGTGCATGCTTGATATTCACTTCTTTTGAATATACTATTTAGCTATTGCTAAATTGATATAACATGCATAATTCAAGCTCTTTCAGTTTTATATGCAGTTATGCTCTGTAAGAAAGACTTTGTTTCAATTACAGTAATAATAATAATATCTTTATTCCTACAAATACATGTACAAGGTATACAGGCCTAGCTGACATCAGTGACACTGAAAACTTCCTTGAAGATACAGTGCCTTTCTGGAAGATACAGTACCTTCCTTAAAGATACAGTGCCTTTCTGGAAGATACAGTACCTTCCTTGAAGTTACAGTGCCTTTCTGGAAGATACAGTACCCTCCTGGAAGATACAGTACCTTCATGGACGATACAGTACCAACCTACTATCTGGATACATTAAGTATATTACATTGTGTGGCCACCCAGATCTATATGACATTTGACAAGGTTAGACCAAGAACTATATTTGTTTGCCTAACATGCCCATCATACAGGATGATTTTCAAATGTAAGTCAGTGAAATAATGTATCAATTTCCTTAAATTTTTTAAGTGATCTCATTTTTTGGTTGTGAAGTTAGTTTTATTAAAGTTGGATTAACCTTTGATCGGGAAGCAAGACAACATACAATTGAAGTTGGAAGCTGTTCTGTTTGATTATTTATTTATAACAAACTCAAATTTTTCTTCTTATTTTCAGTAATTTACATATATACAGAAAAAGGGGTTACTAACCCCTTGCTTCTGGCATTTTAGTTGCCTCTGATGACACGCATGACTTATGGAGGAAAGATTCTTATGCACTTTCCCATGGAGATGAAAGGAAACAGATGATGTATGATGATGAAAGTATTTCTTCTTTTTCGGGTCGCGCTGCCTCGGTGGGAAACGGCCCATGAGTTAATGAAAAAATAATAATAAAAAAAGCTAAAAAATATCTCACATCTGGTCAGGTTATCTGATTTGAATCTGAGAGTTTTCTGATTCTGTGTAAAGTTTATGTGGAGCTGTCAGCATCTTGAAAACTAATCCATCAGTTGTGAATGATCTTTTTGTGGACATCAAAATTATACTATTAAAACCTTAAGGAAAAGTGATGCTGGTGAAGGGTTCCTGGTCCAAGGAAGTGGAGCTACCTTCCTTGGATCAAATCTGAATTTCCCAGGAGCTGTATGACCCCTATGAATTTATAATAATAAAATTATGATGCATAAACTTTATTTCCATCTAAATCTTTGGAAGAACATTTCATTTATTGCTTCTTTTGTATTTTGTTAGGTCAGATCAAAATAGGATATACTACAGTGGTACCTCAGGATACAAACTTAATTCATTCCAGAAGGTTGTTCGAGTGTGGATACTGAACGAATTTGTTCCCATAATGAATAATGTAAATTAGATTAATCCGTTTCAGACCCCCAAAAATACACTTACAAAAGCTACACTTACAAAAGCACTTACATAATTACACTTACATAACTGTTCAAGTTTTGAGCTGTTCATATCCCGAGGTACCACTGTATGTATATCTTAATTGTTGCTTAGTTTTTAATGTACCATACATATTACATTATCTTTTTTGCATCATCTAGAGGAAGTTTTTTATCATTAAGTGTGCAGATACATCAATATTGTTACTTTAAAGGCTGAAAGTCACAGTGATAGTTTTGTAGATACAGAACTGTGTAAGAGAATTCTTCCCACTATCGTGTGAATTTATGGCACGTCTTGGCAATTTGCAAATGTAACTCTAATAAAATTTTGCCCTCGACACTAATTGAGTTTTAATTTACCCTTTCTCAGTTAAGGAGAGGTAGTGTGTAGATTACCACTTTGTTTAAGCATTGGGTAATCATCTTTACCTGGGAAGGGAGCAGCCTCTGTGGATGCTATGGAATGCACTACAGTGCTGTATGACCCTTATGGGTTTAGCCCTTAAGTTTTGATTGTAATAACAATGTGGAATGCAGTGGCTGGCACTTCCCATGCTTGTGTAGTAAGGGTGACTAACCTAAGTGACTTGATGCTTTTGAGGGGCTCTTGATCTAAGGAACTGGACTTATCCTCCCCTTTATTGGATTGATCATTGGTTGATCAGACTCTGATACACCGCGAGGCCTGGTCATGGACTGGGCTATGGGAGCATTGACCCCTGGAACATCCTCCACGTATACTCCAAGTATTGCATCTGAATGCCTCCCATCCCTCTTATGGGTACTCTTCCCCCATGAATATGAGAATAATAATTCAAGACCTGTACTCATTTACTCACCTGTTTGTGGATGCAGGGGTCGAGTCTCAGCTCCTGGCCCTACCTCTGCTGACCACTATTGGATTTTTTCTGGTTCTGTTAGCTCAATCATGACTAGAATTAAAACTAATCATGGATCCTGCCTCTGTCACTTTATTGTTTAGGCCATCCCATTTCCTGATCACTAAAGAAGTATTTCCTAACATCCTTGTGACTTGTCTGTTTTTAATTTCCTGCTCTTCCCTTGTGCACGTGAGACCTACCACTTGAAGAGACTTGCCTTCTCCAACCTGTCATTTTGTACATCATAATTATGTTACTCCTGGTCAATTTGTCCTTAATGTCATCAGGTTTACCTCATTTATCCTCTCCTTACAACTTCTTCCCTTAGCTTTGAGGCTAGTGTTGTTGCAATCTTTGCACGTACTCACCTAATTCACCTAATTGTGGTTGCAGGGGTCGAGACTCAGCTCCTGGCCCCGCCTCTTCACTGATTGCTACTAGCTCCTCTCTCTCTCTGCTTCCTGAGCTTTGTCATACCTCTTCTTAAAACTATGTATGGTTCCTGCCTCCACTACTTCACTTGCTAGGCTATTCCACTTGCTGACAACTCTATGACATACGGCACTTTATCAGATGTGGGCTTTATTCTTATTTTGCATACATACGTCAACATGGGTCTGACAAATGCCGTATGTAGTTTCATGAATGACTTCTTGTTGAAGTTCCTGAAAGCCATCATTAAATTTACTAGTCTCACATTTGCTGAAGCGACTATTACAGTTGATGTGCGCCTCAGGTGATATGCTAAAAACTATGTTTACCCTGAGGTCCTTCTTTTATGGGGAGGTTTGCAGCCTTCATTCCTTGAGCTCTCTCGTGTTAGGAGTGAAATAAAAAAAAATAAGTTGGAGGGAAAAAAAATCGGGCATACCTAATTCAGTTTTTTTTATGTGGTACAAAACTAATGTAGTTTATAGGTAATAAAACATTGCCAGACACAAAAGAAAGTCACTCCTTCAAACCAGACTGCTATTCCTTTGCCTTTCTCCCCTCAAGGAAGGTTCCTTGATGTTGGTGAGGGGCTCTTGATTTAGGGAATTGGATCTGTGCTCCAGTTCCCCGAATTAAGCCTGAATGCCTTCCACATCCCCCCCCCCCAGGCGCTGTATAATCCTCCGGGTTTAGCGCTTCCCCCTTGATTATAATAATAATAATAATCCTTTGCCTTTCCTACATGAAAACTAATGGAGCCGCCCCTGGTTCAGGGCGGGAACCTAATCTAAGATCAAGATTTAGATTATCACAATGTTATATAATACCAACAAGAGGAAGAATAACACATGTGGAACATCAAGGTAAAATCTTTATTAAAGATACGTTTCTGCAGGCGAAACTTATCGTAATAAAAATCCTTTGCAGTTTATACAGGTGACTTAATTATCAGCTTAACCTAATATTAAAAACCAAACAAACACAATGAGCGGCACACTGTAGTGTGCATCGATGCAAAAAAAAAAAAAAAAAAAAAAACATATCTAATCATGTTAGGTTCGTGAGTGATAAAATTAGTGTATATATACAGCCGCTCATTCAGTCGGTGGATCATACAGTTTAACTCTTGGAAGTGGCCTACATCATCATCTCCAGAATAGTAGGTAGTGGTGTAAGTTCGTTGTAGATGGCAAAAGATGGTGAATGTTGGTAATAGATGGTGAAAGATGGTAGTAGAAGGATAAAAGGAGACGGTGAGGGTTCATTGTACAGGATTTGTCACGCTCAATCACACAATAAGCTTATATTCCATTATACATGATGGTCTTCCTGTCATACTCCATCACACTGGATGGTCTTCCCGTCATACTCCATCACACTGGATGGTCTTCCCGTCATACTCCATCACACAGGATGGTCTTCCTGTCATACTCCATCACACAGGATGGTCTTCCCGTCATACTCCATCACACAGGATGGTCTTCCCGTCATACTCCATCACACTGGATGGTCTTCCCGTCATACTCCATCACACTGGATGGTCTTCCCGTCATACTCCATCACACAGGATGGTCTTCCCGTCATACTCCATCACACAGGATGGTCTTCCCGTCATACTCCATCACACAGGATGGTCTTCCCGTCATACTCCATCACACAGGAGGAAAAACATCTGAGGGCAGGATAACAGGGTAATCATCAACTATACGGGTTTGTAGTAACTTTTCTAACCATATCTATTAATCAGATACCTAAGCGTCATTAGTAAGTGGTGTGTTGCATAATTACTTATCATATAATAATGGAATTTTCGGTTTGTGAATTGTCCTTCAAGTGGTATGTGTACATGTAAGGTGTTCCTGGGGTCAACGTCCCCTTGCCCGGTCCGTGACCAGACTTGATACCGGTGAACAACTTTTTATACCTGGAGAGGGAGAGTATTCCTAGAGAGAGGGAGAGTATACCTAGAGAGAGGGAGAGTATACCTGGAGAGAGGGAGAGTATACCTGGGGAGAGGGAGAGTATACCTGGAGAGAGGGAGAGTATACCTGGAGAGAGGGAGAGTATACCTGGAGAGGAGAGTATACCTGGAGAGGAGAGTATACCTGGGGAGGGAGAGTATACCTAGAGAGAGGGAGAGTATACCTGGAGAAGTTTAGGGGGTCAACGCCCCCGCCCCATTCTCCCAGGTGGGATTGGCGCTTAACAACTGGGCGTCTACACTGCAAACTGAATTGTTTGCAATCCTAATGGCGCTAAAGCTAACCTATGACACTGAGCTTGACTCTATCATCATTACTGATTCTATGTCATCATTGAAGGCTCTTGGCTCATATAATGACTCCAACAACATGTTCATTGGGGAAGCCAGGTATAGATACTCAAAAATTAGGGACAAAGGAATTAATGTACAATTGCTATGGATCCCATCACACATCGAATTACTCCTTCATGATAAAGTTGATATGTTAGCCAAGAAGAGTATCCAGAAGGAGAACGTAGAATATAACTTTGGTATAACTGTGTCTAGCATTAGGAATAATATTAGGAGAGAAGTAAATAATGAAGATGATTGTTATAGGAATGCAGTTAGAAGCCTGAGTAGATCTATAACCCACTATGATAACATGAACGTAGATAAGTATGTTTATGGAGCAACTTGCAATGTGAACAGACTGACTGATGTTGTAGTGGCCAGGCTTAGGCTTGGTTACAAGTACTTCTGGCAGTTTGGGAGACACACAGATGATGATCAAACTAAATGTAAATTATGTGATCAGGCATATGGTCACTCTCTTGAACACTATGTGCTTAATTGTCCACTTACTGAGGAATACAGAGACAGACAGTATAATAACCTATGTGACATGTCAAGATATCTTATTAATGAAAATAAGATACCAGATATACTAAGCAAATTTCCTAAATTTGCTTGTAACAGATAAGTGAACTATAGATATGTAGATATAAATCCATATGTATTCCTGTTAATACTTTGGGGCCTAGTTCCTAGGCCTTTTGTGTATCCATATGCTCTCGCGCTACCGTCCACAGGATGGATATGGGGTGCACAATAAACTAGCCACTTCGGTGGCAAAATCTATCTAATCTGATGATGATGATAATAATAATAATAATAATAATAATAATAATAATAATAATAATAATAATAATAATAATAATAATAATAATAATAATAATAATAATTTTATGAATAAATTAAACCAAATTGTTTATCCATTACATTTAGAAAGCATTGTAAATAGGGTGCGAGTGAGCAAGTCAGTGGAGACAGTTACAAGCACTGTATACATACTCTCAAAGTCACTGTATGTATAAAATATATGTATGATGTGGTGTTTTATGAGAAGGCGTTTCGTCATTCATGAAATGTATTAATTCATAAGTATTTAGGTATCATAAGTATTTCGGTACAGGTACACATAAGTACAATTATCATAAGTATTTAGGTACAGGTACACATAAGTACAATTATCATAAGTGTTTAGGTACAGGTACACATAAGTACAATTATCATAAGTGTTTAGGTACGGGTACACATAAGTACAGTTATCATAAGTATTTATGTACAGGTACACATCACATAAGTACAATTATCATACATAGCAACACGTGTAAATTGCCTAGCATGATAGCAGAAAAAGTCAGTGACTTATTTCCATAAGAGAGACCCATCGGGGTCTTTGATTTCCATTGGAGTCCTTGAAATATATTCAATTTGGTCTTTGACCAATGAGTGAGGAGGTCTCGGATGATAGCTATGTCGGTTTTAATAAAATGATAAACTTTATTTCTACACAATATGACTTCAACTTAGTCCGATACGGCCTTGTAAAACATAAATATATGCAAATTACAGCGTCTTACGCCTACTTGACAAAATTTTCCTAGCTGTATCCTTGAGAAAGAGTGTCAGACAGAGACAGACAGCGAATGAGACAGAGACAGGCAGGCAGTGAGACAGGCAGGCAGAGAGACAGGCAGGCAGAGAGACAGGCAGGCAGAGACAGGCAGGCAAGAGACAGGCAGGCAAGAGACAGGCAGGCAAGAGACAGGCAGACAGAGACAGGCAGGCAGAGACAGGCAAAGAGACAGACAGGCATGCAGAGAGGCAAAGAGACAGACAGGCAGACAGAGAGACAGGCAGAGAGAGACAGGCAGGCAGAGAGATAGACAGGCAAAGAGAGACATATAGACAAGCAGAGACAGAGACTGATAGAGGCATCTTTCTGGAGTAGAAACCCATCCATTAACTTTATTTTTACGCTGTTCATGAGAAGTTCACAATCTCGAGCTGGTAAACCATCACTTTGGCGATGTCGTTATTAAAAAAAAAAAAAGGGGCCAGTATACGTTAACTTTTTAAGCACTTAATTAAGCTAACCTACTGTAAGCTAGCCTACTGTAAGCTAACCTACTGTAAGCTAACCTACTGCAAGCTAGCCTACTGTAAGCAAGCCTACTGTAAGCTAACCTACTGTAAGCTAGCCTACTGTAAGCTAACCTACTGTAAGCTAACCTACTGCAAGCTAGCCTACTGTAAGCTAACCTACTGCAAGCTAGCCTACTGTAAGCTAACCTACTGTAAGCTAACCTACTGCAAGCTAGCCTACTGTAAGCTAGCCTACTGTAAGCTAACCTACTGTAAGCTAGCCTACTGTAAGCTAACCCACTGTAAGCTAGCCTACTGTAAGCTAGCCTACTGTAAGCTAGCCTACTGTAAGCTAACCCACTGTAAGCTAGCCTACTGTAAGCTAGCCTACTGTAAGCTAGCCTACTGTAAGCTAACCCACTGTAAGCTAGCCTAGCCGAGAATAACAAACATTGAGATTTCTGAAAAATTCCGAATTCACAGAAATGCACCAAGGACGAGGCATCAAATAATGCACATGTAATGAGAGAACAAGTGTTCCCTGGGGCTTCCCAGCTGTGTGAGGCACCAGTAAGAGCCAGGACTTCGAGCATGCAAGTAGTGGTTACGTTGCATCCTTGCAATAATGGCAGAGTTTTGGAGGTCTCGCATATCCCAGGAAGAGTATAGGCATGTGCATGTATAAAGGTTATACCCTCGCCGGTATACCATGTAGAGTGGTCACCACCTGTTGTTAATGTAGACTGTGCAAGTTAATCCCTGGGTCTTGTATTTTGATAGTGCAGTGCAGTGCAATGTTATGAAGTGCTGTGAAATGTTGTGAGGTGCTGTGCAATGTTAAGTGCTGTGGAATGTTAAGTGCTGTGCAATGTTGTGTGGTGCTGTGCAATGTTGTGAGGTGCTGTGCAATGTTAGTGCTGTGGAATGTTGCGAGGTGCTGGTAGTGTTAAATGCTGTGCAATGTTAAGTGCTGTGCAATGTTGTGTCGTGCTGTGCAATGTTGTGAGGTGCTGTGCAATGTTGTGTCGTGCTGTGCAATGTTGTGAGGTGCTGTGTAATGTGAAGTGCTGTACAATGTTGTGAAGTGCTGTGTAATGTGAAGTGCTGTACAATGTTGTGAATTGCTGTACAATGTTGTGAAGTGCTGTACAATGTTGTGAAGTGCTGTACAATGTTGTGAAGTGCTGTACAATGTTGTAAAGTGCTGTACAATGTTGTGAAGTGCTGTACAATGTTGTGAAGTGCTGTACAATGTTGTGAAGTGCTGTACAATGTTGTAAAGTGCTGTACAATGTTGTGAAGTGCTGTACAATGTTGTAAAGTGCTGTACAATGTTGTGAAGTGCTGTACAATGTTGTAAAGCGCTATACAATGTTGTGAAGTGCTGTACAATGTTGTAAAGTGCTGTACAATGTTGTGAAGTGCTGTACAATGTTGTAAAGTGCTGTACAATGTTGTGAAGTGCTGTACAATGTTGTAAAGTGCTGTACAATATTGTAAAGTGCTGTACAATGTTTTAAAGTGCTGTACAATGTGAAGTGCTGTACAATGTTGTAAAGTGCTGTACAATATTGTAAAGTGCTGTACAATGTTGTGAAGTGCTGTACAATGTAAAGTGCTGTACGATATTGTGAAGTGCTGTGTAATGTTGTGATGACATTCCTCGTGTTGTAAAGTTCTGTACATTTTGTACAGTCATCCAGATGCATCACTGTGAGGTGTTGTGCTGTGACACCTTATAAGGAAGACCACAATTTTAGGAACTATGCCTAACTCTGAGAGTGTTGCATGCGGTGAATCTACTGGTGTAAATATTAAAGTATTGTGAAAAGTGATGGGTGTACAGTGTTATGGTGTACTGTGAGAGCTCACTGTTGATATGGGTACATCATCTGGTAGCGTAGTGCCATGTAAGTCACTGTACAGTGAAGTTTTATAGAGGTAGTCCCCTCAAGGAAGGTTCCTTGATGTTAGTGAGGGGCTCTTGATTTAGGGAATTGGATCTGTGCTCCAGTTCCCCGAATTAAGCCTGAATGCCTTCCACATCCCCCCCCCCCGGTGCTGTATAATCCTCCGGGTTTAGCGCTTCCCCCTTGATTATAATAATAATAATAATAATATAGAGGTAGTGTGAGGAGTGCGTTGTTGAAGGTGTGGGTGAAGGTTATGTCTGCCCTGTGGTGTATTGGAATGTTGAATATAAACAATGACATCATGCTGTACAACGTTGCATGTTCTACAACGTTGCATGTTCTACAACGTTGCATGTTCTACAACGTTGCATGTTCTACAACGTTGCATGTTCTACAACGTTGCATGTTCTACAACGTTGCATGTTCTACAACGTTTCATGTTCTACAACGTTGCATGTTCTACAACGTTGCATGTTCTACAACGTTGCATGTTCTACAACGTTGCATGTTCTACAACGTTGCATGTTCTACAACGTTGCATGTTCTACAACGTTGCATGTTCTACAACGTTGCATGTTCTACAACGTTGCATGTTCTACAACGTTGCATGTTCTACATCGTTGCATGTTCTACAACGTTACATTTCTGTACAACGTTGCATTTCTGTACAACGTTGCATGTTTTATTACCGCATTTTTTCAACGTTGCATGGTCAACAACGCTGCATGTTCTGCAACTCTGCAGTGTACTGTAACATAACCTGCAATTTCTTGACATTTTTTAAATAAATCTGTCATTCCCCTTATTATTGGTGGTTTACATATACTGTTCTCATAAGAGACCTTGATACAGAAGGGCTCTTGATCAAAAAATGGAGCTATCTTTGTCTTTCCTCGGATCAAACATAAATATCACTGACTTTTATTTGGGTTATCCTAGGTAATTTACACTTTGTATGATAATTGTACTGTGTACCTGTACCTAAATAAACTTACACGGTGGCTCGTGACTTGCTGGCAAAAGCTCTTGCTTCACACACTGATGTCCGGGTTCGATTCCCGGCAAGGGTAGAAACATTGGACGTGTTCCCTTACACCTGTTGTCTGTATTCGCCCATCAGTAAAATGGGTACCTGGGTGTTAGTCGGCTGGTGTGGGTCGCATCCTGGGACAAACTCTGTATAGCAGTATGTCATTGGTGTCAGCTAGGCCTGTATACCTTGTACATGTACTTGTAGAAATAAAGATATTACTTTCATTCCTCAGGCACTGTATAACCTGTACGGGTTTTGGACTTCCCCATGAACATGATAATGATGAGAGGGCCAGTGTGGCAGGCATGAGCATACAAGGAAAAGTTTAACAGTGACAATATTGCAACACTCCTGCTAGCCGGGGCATGAAGGAATATTTAAACAATCAAGGGAAACAAGACGAACCTTTAAGATACGTTAATGCTCGTGAAGTGTTCTTGATTCAAGGAAATAAGAACTTTCCTCTCCTTGGATCGAATCTTGGAGGCCTGGTCATGGACCGGGCGGCGGGGGCGTGGACCCCCGGATCTACCTGGAGCTCATTACCTTGTAACTTGGTCATGATTGTGACCAGATATGCCAGGAGTTCATTACCTTGTAACTTGGTCATGATTGTGACCAGATCTACCAGGAGTTCATTACCTTGTAACTTGGTCATGATTGTGACCAGATCTACCAGGAGTTCATTACCTTGTAACTTGGTCATGATTGTGACCAGATCTACCAGGAGTTCATTACCTTGTAACTTGGTCATGATTGTGACCAGATCTACCAGTTCATTACCGTTGTAACTTCTTCATCTCTCAGAACTTTGGGGCCCAGTCCCTGGACCCATTATGTACCTCTGTAATCCTTTGACTACTGCCCATAGGATGGGTATGGGGTACATAATAAACATATTAAATTAAACTTGTTGGTATCACCATACCAATGTTCACTTATCTTCGTCACTGGCTGGAACTCTCAGTGACACTTACCTGTGTCTGGCTGTGACACAGCCACAGGTTAGCGCTTAGTAAGTTTATTTAGGTACAGGTATACATAAATACAGTTACACAAATTATCATACATAGTACATATGTGTAAATTACCTAGGATAACCCCCAAAAAAGGCCAATGAATTTTTTCCATTGTGGTTCTTGTGAAAATAATAACATTCATTAACACATTCTGCTACTGAACCGTTTATGTTTATTCCACAGATTGATTTCGAGCAGCCATTCGTCAGACGACATGGAACTGACCGAGCAACTCGTGGAGGCTGGCCAGGACCATGATGACCAGGACAACGAATGGGGTGACCGCAGGGTCATACTAGTGGGCAGCGGGGACATGACTCGTGCCCTGGCTCCTAGTCTACTCCGAGCTCACTACAGACCTGTTGTAGCAACCAGGAAACCTAACAGAGCCAGGTAAGGCTACATCAGTATCTTGAATTATCAGTGTGTTCATGGAGGAGCCACATGTCTATGGTGCATCCAACAAAATAAGTAGACTCTTGGATGTCACGACTTGACTTAAGAAATCGTAATGACACGATTGCAAATAAACCATACCCCCGGCCGGGATTGAACCCGCGGTCATAGAGTCTCAAAACTCCAGCCCGTCGCGTTAGCCACTAGACCAGCTAGCCACAATACCGGTTTCGGCTGAGTTACAAGTATCTTTGGCAGGTTAAATCACCACCACCAGATGTAGACCAAACGAAATGTAAACTTTGCCAGATAGACTATTGTCACAACTTGTGTCATGTACTGGAGTGCGATAAAATTAATGAATTCAGAGACAACTTACTCAGAAATGTTCAAAATATAGCAAAGTATTTTATCCACAGTGGTGGTATAAACCTTGGTAATAAATACCGACAAGTTGGTTTAGAAAGACACGTAAGCAAACACTATAACATATGGAACAGCCCCCTAAACAGTTCATAGTACTCCCATGTGGCGATGTTGCCACGAATACTCGCCGGGCACTTGCTATGAGTAACATCGACGTTTCCACCATAAACACATCATCTATCAAAGACCTCACTACGAAACGCAGCCCCACACCTCTAACTTCTACAGCAGGCGTCTACACTATCCCCTGTGGGTTCTGTCCCAAGAAATATGTAGGCGAGACAGGCAGAGATCTTGCAGTCCGCCTGAATGAACATCGAAATGCCTCTAACAGAGACGATGTAAGGTACGCCTGTGTCCTCCACAGAGACTCCACGGGGCATTTGATGAACTGGAACGAGGCACAACTCGTTCTCACCGAACCAGACCTCAGACGCCGACGGTGCCTAGAAGCCTCACTAATCGCCGTCACCGACACTATAGAACGCAACACTGGAAACTACAAAATTTCAAAAACATTGGCATACATGATACTTAAGCAGCACCAACCCAACAACACGGGAGTCACATGATTTCATCGTCTACCCGTCAACAGATACAGAGTAAAGTCTTAGCTACGGTGAAAAGCTCTGTTCCACAAGGCACAGTACTCGCTCCCATCTTGTTCCTCATCCTCATATCCGACATAGACAAGGATGTCAGCCACAGCACCGTGTCTTCCTTTGCAGATGACACCCGAATCTGCATGACAGTGTCTTCCATTGCAGACACTGCAAGGCTCCAGGCGGACATCAACCAAATCTTTCAGTGGGCTGCAGAAAACAATATGAAGTTCAACGATGAGAAATTTCAATTACTCAGATATGGTAAACATGAGGAAATTAAATCTTCATCAGAGTACAAAACAAATTCTGGCCACAAAATAGAGCGAAACACCAACGTCAAAGACCTGGGAGTGATCATGTCGGAGGATCTCACCTTCAAGGACCATAACATTGTATCAATCGCATCTGCTAGAAAAATGACAGGATGGATAATGAGAACCTTCAAAACTAGGGAGGCCAAGCCCATGATGACACTCTTCAGGTCACTTGTTCTGTCTAGGCTGGAATATTGCTGCACACTAACAGCACCTTTCAAGGCAGGTGAAATTGCTGACCTAGAAAATGTACAGAGAACTTCACGGCGCGCAATAACGGAGATAAAACACCTCAATTACTGGGAGCGCTTGAGGTTCCTAAACCTGTATTCCCTGGAACGCAGGAGGAGAGATACATGATTATATACACCTGGAAAATCCTAGAGGGACTAGTACCGAACTTGCACACGAAAATCACTCACTACCGAAAGCAAAAGACTTGGCAGACGATGCACCATCCCCCCAATGAAAAGCAGGGGTGTCACTAGCACGTTAAGAGACCATACAATAAGTGTCAGGGGCCCGAGACTGTTCAACTGCCTCCCAGCACACATAAGGGGGATTACCAACAGACCCCTGGCAGTCTTCAAGCTGGCACTGGACAAGCACCTAAAGTCAGTTCCTGATCAGCCGGGCTGTGGCTCGTACGTTGGTTTGCGTGCAGCCAGCAGCAACAGCCTGGTTGATCAGGCTCTGATCCACCAGGAGGCCTGGTCACAGACCGGGCCGCGGGGGCGTTGACCCCCGGAACTCTCTCCAGGTAAACTCCAGGTAATAGACCCCTCAAGGAAGGTTCCTTGATGTTGGTGAGGGGCTCTTGATTTAGGGAATTGGATCTGTGCTCCAGTTCCCCGAATTAAGCCTGAATGCCTTCATCCCCCCCCAGGCGCTGTATAATCCTCCGGGTTTAGCGCTTCCCCCTTGATTATAATAATAATAATCCAGGTAATAGGTAGAGGTTGTTTTGATAAGGACCTGCCTCGCATGGGCCAGCAGGCCTTCAACAGTGTTCTTCCATTCTTATTTTCTTTTTAAACATTCCTCAGGCCCCACGTGAAATCACATCTCACCCCTCCGCCTATATATTAAGGGTCTTTTTTACCTCTGTATTTTTAGAAGATAAAGGGTTTCCCAGGACCGAAACTTTTTTTCTAATAAATATTTATGTTTGCTTACGGGTTTTTTAAAAAACCCCACAGGGGTTTATTTTAAAAAAACCATTCTGGAGAAAAAAACCAAAAATTTTTATTTCACGGTAAATAAAGCTAATTTTTTGCATTAAAAAACTCAGTGCATTTAATCGGGTGTAGCCTGTGAAGGGCTCTTACCTTTGCAACTTTTTCACCCTTTTTAACATTTTGCGCCCCAGTCCCGGGAAACCCATTATGTACCTCTGTAATTTTTTTTTCACAAAAAAACCCACAGGAGGGGTAGGGGCCCTGCATAACAAGATTAAAAGGGGAAAAATGCAAAAAACCCAGTGGGGAGTCATACGGGCCTGGGAAAACTTGAGGAATCCCTGGAGTAACATGGAGAGTGTTCGGGGGGGGTTCAGTGCCCTCGAGGTTTTGGTCCATGACCGGGCCTCGTGTGGCTCGGGACCTAAACCAACCAGGCAAATTACTATTACTAACTGTGAAATTGTGCGTTTTTTTTATTTTTTATGAGTGCTGAGGGGGAAAACCTACGGGGTTTCAAAGTGCCCCAAATAACTACTGGTTTTTTGAGCCTGGGTTTTTTTTAGCGCTCCTTTTGATTTAATAATCCATAGCTACTCCCGCTTTTTTTTCTACTAGTTCTTCTGCTCCCAACTTATTGCTACTAGGAACTACAACTCTTTTACAAACAAATTTTTTTTTAAACTAGGTAATACTACTTATTTGTGCTGGGTACAAACTACTAAATGAAAAGGGCCCCGGGGATTGATAATGCCAGGGGATCTCACTTTCAAAGACCATAAAAATTGTACCCAATCGCATGGGCTAGAAAAATTACAAGATGGATAATGAGACCTTAAAAAACTTGGGAGCACTAACAAAACCTTTAAAGGGAAAGGTAAAATTTGCTGACCTAAAAATGCACAGAAAACCCTCACGGCACACATAATACATAAAATCCCCCCTCAGTTACTGGGAAGGGCTTGAATTTCCTGAACCTGTACTTTCCCGGGAACGTGGGCGGAGAATACTTTAATTAAAACACCGGGAAAAAACCTGAGGGATTAGAAACCAAAGTTGCACACGAAAAAAACTCCCTATGAAACCCAAAAGACTTTGCAAGATGAAACTTTTCCCCCTATGACTTTAAATTTTAGCTCTGTGAAACCTGTTTGTGGGGCTCCCCTGTGAATCTAAACCCAAATTTCCCCTCTCTTGAGAGCTTAAACCAGCCTGAAAAAAAAGAACTCGGGTTTTGCTAAACGGAATAGGGCATTAACGGGGGAGAACAAGGGGGATTCTAGTAATCCACCTGTTTGATTCCCCAGGTTAAGGGGAGTTTGGTCAGTGGCCGGGCAACAGGGAACCAAGCTAAAGGGAAAAAAAAATTTTTTGGAGGGGCAGAAAAAACGAAAATCCAGAAATTTGCCGTGGAAATTTCCCCAACTCATTCTGGGTTTTTCTACCTGACGAATGTGGGGTTTTTCTCCCGGGGGAAGCCACAACGAGCCCCCAAGGAAGCTTTGGGCAGACGGAGAAAGAAAACCCCCTAAAAACCCCAACGAAGACCATCGGGGAACGTCATGACAAAAATTCTACAAGGGTGTAATGCTACTGGCAATTTTGAGCCCCTACTCGGAGCTCACTACGGACGACCCCAAGGGGGGAAAAAAACTTTGTTGTTTTTGGGGGGAAAACCAGTTTGGGTACATGGAAAAGGGCATTCTGTTTGAAGGAAGGAGTAGGGGGGCAAGAGAAATTTTTTCCGGGGGGCGGGGAAATGAAGGTATTGTTAGCCTCCGGATGACATAAATGAGGGGTTAATGGGAGCAATCCTATTATCGTCCTCAGGGGCTGGGGGAAAAACGTTTTTTTGGCAGACGTGGGAAAGTGGGGACCTGTTTTAGCGGGTTAAGTCAGAAATTTAGAGTTTAATTTAGGAAGAAGGGGGGGAAACCTGTCATATGTGGCTTTTTTTCCCAAAGGAAAAGGAATTTTGGAAATAAAATGGTTTTCCAGAGCAATTGGTGTCAATTGCCTGGCTAAAACAAATACTGTAAGGAAAATTGCGGAAACATTCTTAAACAACGGGGACCTTTTTTTTAGGGCAGAAATGACATTATCCAGGGAGGGGGTTTCCCCTTTTTCCTAGGTGGGGGTTGGGAGCCGGGGGCCAAAACGCAGTGGGGGGAGTTTGTTGGCCCTTTTAAACTAGGAAATTTTAGTGTATGGGTTTTGGGGGGAAAACGGGTTGAAGCCCAGGGTAAAACCTGAGTACTAGGAAACGAAATAGGCAAAATGAGGAGGATTTTGGAAAGCCAGGGGCACAAATTGACAATGAAAAGTAATGGGTTTTATGGAATAACGGGAAAGGGAAACCCAGGAAGGGTAAAGAGTTTGGAGGGTTTCCTTTAAATTTTTTTTAAACACAAAAGCCCGCAGTGCTAGGAATAAGAGGGACGAGTTGAGACTTTGCTATGCAGGTAAAAAAAGAT